CAGACTCACCTGGGCTTTCATGCCTGGACATTTTCTGCAATTTTACTTGTTCCAAATGTGCTTCTTTTTGCCCTAATTTATGAGATCTTTCCAGCAAAGCTTCTAGAAATTTTACTTCCAAATGTCCAGTTAGCTCAAGATCCATATTTCAACTCCACAATTCTCAGGTCTTCAAGGTTTTGAACCTGTCACTCGGGGCTAGGGGAAGTTTTCCTCATGGAACACAAACAGGTTAAAGGCAAGCTCGGGGTTTAGAAAGATTGCTAGGTGCTCACAGGAATGGTTTACAGTGATGAATGCAGAGATATTTTTCCCAGCAGAGCAAGTAAACAAGCCCCCCAAACCGGCAGAACAGGCCAGCTCCCGCAGGACTGCTGGCCTGGGGCTGCAGCTGGGAGCACAGACTCCCGGGCACCTCTAGCCTACATTCTTTCTGTTACTTATTTTAAATATGATTAGTATAGTTTCTAAAAATGACTCATCAGGAGCAACATTCCATGCATGTGCTTACACAGTTTCAAGCCAACTACTCCTGGTAGGAATGAAAACAAACTTAATATCTTTGAAAAGCTGATGTAATTCTATGCAGTCAGGAGAAGGCCGGGGCCTGGATGGACCTGTTCAATAATGGCTTTGCTGTACAGCAAATGATGTTTTCAAAGCCTAACTATAGAAACTAACAGATGTCAATACAGAAAGAATCTATAAGACCGATTTCCTCTTTTGAAATAGCAAAGTAAATTCCTCTAAAAATTAATGCACAGATTCTGCCATGAAGTTACAGCTGCTGGGTGACAGGATGAAACCTGAGTTCCAGCACCTGCTTCTGTGAAACCAAAGGCAATTTTCTTGTCATCATAAAGCCTCTGTAATTCTACAAAGTGAAAACATGGGAGGTGATACACTCTACGCTCTCTTCTAGCTTGAAATTATTATTATCTTGCCAATTATCAGTTTGGGGCCCCCAAAACAGAAGTCTGACGTCAAAATTCCATTTCAGTGGTTAAAGAGCTCTGTGCTTGGGCTGCCTGCTGGCTGTGGTGAGGTGCTGCGTTTCAGGGGGGCTAGTCCACTTCCCTGAACGTAGAGCTCCCACCCCCAGCTCTACAAAGGTTTTGCAGCCCTTACAGCAGCCATGGTCTAGAGTTGGAGAGCTGAGAAGCACTGAGGTGGGGAGGGCGCTGTTCCCAGCAGGGTTCAGACCAGGCAGGCGGCTAAGAAGACAGCCTGAGGGTGTGCTAAGAAGTCCAGGGAGGCTCCACTGGAGGAGAGCTTCTCTCAGCAGGTTGTGCCCGCCCTGCACTCAGAAATACCTTTATTCAAATAGTGCCAAGGATAAATCAGAATAGCAGGTTCTTTTCAAGAAGGAATGTGGCCTTGGACATATTCTGACCAAGGATGAAGAGAAAGAAAATGCTAAAAATTCCCAGGCCTGGGTTTCCGAGGTAGAGAGGACTCAGGGGTGAGGTCTGCTGGGTGCTGACAGATTCCTTCCCCTTTCTACACTTCAGACTAGGACCTACTCTGCCTGCCAGTAGGAATCTGGGAGAAAAAGAAAACATGCGTCCTTCTTGGCAGCGGAGAGGTAAGAAGTCCTTATGCCCAATGGTGGACTCTGAAGAAAATTAGCCCGGCAGGGGTAACCAAATTTTTTTTTTTTTTCTGCCACATATTGGAAGAATAAGAATTGTCTTGGGCCACATATTAAACACACAAATGTTGTCCAGGCACATCGGCTTACGCCTGTAATCCCAACACTCTGTGAGGCCGAGGCAGGAGGAGCCCTTGAGCTCAGAAGTTCAACACCAGCCTGAGCAAGAGTGAGACTCCCTTTCTACTAAAAATAGAAAAACTAGCTGGGTGTTGTGGTGGGCACCTGTAGTCCCAGCTACTTAGGAGGCTGAGACTGGAGTCTCAGGTTTTTGTGAGCAATGACTCCATGGCACTCTACTCAGGGTGACAGAGTGGGACTTTGTCTAAGTAAGTAAATAATAAATAAATGCATGAACACTAGTGAAAGCTGATGCACACAAGAAAAGTCCTGTGCATACTTTTTGTGATATCTGACACCACAGATAAGCAAAACAGATAACACTGAAGATAAGAACACTCAAATCTGCATGTGGCCTATGGCCCAGGGTGGACACTGCTGTCCTGAGGTATGTTCCAGGTGGCTGCCTGTCAGGAAGGGAGCTGCCACCCTCCCAGCATTCTAGCCATGTCCCTCCACTCCTGCATAGACTGATGAAGTTCCACTTGGTGGCACATGGGAGTTTGCAGACATCCAAGGAAATGATTCTTCCTTTCCTCAGCAAATAGCCATGCTTAAAAAGCACTTACCTCTTTTCCTTGGACTATATCATATATATTTTGTATTCCCTTATTCAAAGTTTGGGGAAAAGAAATTCTAGCTTTCTATTCTACCCTGGGTAATTCATTTTATGAATCCTGAGAAAATCATAAACCTTCATTATGATGTCTTCAGTTAATTCTCTGTGGGGATATGTTGTCATTGGGAGTGAAACGGAGAGATTGCCTTTTATGTTTGAAAAGATAATTCAGATCAGTTTACATGAGCTGAAAGGAGCCTTGGAATGACTTCAGTTTCATTCAGGCAAACAATGGGTTCCCAATGCCATTGGAAACATTAAATGTTGACAACATGTGGACCCCACCAGCCAGGGCTCAGGCAGCCAGCTCCTGGAGTCTATGCTCAATTTTATAATTGGGTCAAAGACAGACAGGAAACAGCACTGAACTGAATAATCTCAGACAATGTCCATGCCTAGCCTGCCACGTTGAAAGGTCCAATAAATTTAGACAATATAAATACGTTGCCTTAGAAAATCTTTATTCAAAGTACATGATGGGTTTCAATGATAATCTATATGATAATCTAATATCTTCATAGCCTAAACACTTAAATCATCCACATGTTTAATATCTAAAACACAGTACTTGAAAATAGTGGTTTCTACTAAAGATTATTCATTTGTAAGAACAACTGGCAATAATTAGTATTATTTCAAGGAAAATTTTAGAATCTTTTTATAAAAGCTCTTAAGTCAAAGACAAAACTAAACAACAGTTCAAAGTAACTTTTTTATTTACTTTGACTATTTTGAAACTCATTATCAGATATTGGATAAGATACTTCACAGAGTACAGAACAATACTATGATATTCCATAAATGAAGATTCGAGATACATCTGATTGGCTTTTTAAGATAGTAAACAAATTTATGAATCCCCTGACCTTCATGCATATAAATAAAGTTGTAAATTATCCCCACATTATACATTTCTTTATAACATAAAGAAACCCAGAAATAATTTAAAACCAACAACTGAAATAATTTCATTTCACACCTGATTACTAAGTGCCCTTAATAATCTTAATGCAAATGCCCCTGGAATGGATGCATTTCAATATTCCAAGAAGACAGAGCTGAAATTTTTATAGAATTACCAAGGGTAAAAGCAGAAGAGAAAATATTCTCTATTAAAGTTTTCCCACTGAGGCTAACAGGGTGTTCATTTGGGGATTATTCCACAGGTAATACACCCACACAGCCTGGAATAGGATAGTCAGGTGGTTTCCAGTGACATACATTTTGTAAAAAATTATTATTACATGAACTACTCTAACTACCTAGATGCTCCCCATATATATTTCCAAGGAAAAATACTAGCGGCAATTAAGGTACATATTATTATCATGTACTATTTTGTCTATAAAACATATACAAATAAATTATTATCATAGTACCACGATAAATAAGGCTTTTACCTTCTTTTCTTCAATGGAATTAAAATGCTTTTTAAATTAATCTCTTTAATTAATTATGCTTTATAATAGCATTTTAAACAGTATGTCAAAATTCTTTAGGAAACAGAGATTAGGAAATAAGGTTCTGGGATTCCTTAGCAGGTTAAATAGAGAAAAATAAAGAAACCAGAGAAAAAATACAACAGTTGGGCTATGAGATGGATGAGGGACTGCTCTGGCTGGCAGGTCCGAGATCACTGGGTATTATTCCACGTGCATTCTATTCCATAGGTGGAGTTGTGTGTTTCATTATGTTTCATTATGTGCATTTAATGGAAAACTAGGTGGTTTAGGAATTTTCTTGATGGCATATTGTTCATAATGTCACAAGAACATAATCAAACAAACAAACATGAAATTATCAGATGGATTTTTTAAAATATGCCTGAATCAAAACTTCACTTATAGAGGCAGTAAATAATCCACAAGCAAATGGACAACTAGAAGTCACTGCAATAAACATGCTTTAGGCCCAATTTCTATATTTTTCTTTATTGAAAGAACGTTTATGACTCAAAAATGTGAAATGAGTAAGCCAGCTTGTATTTGTTTTTATTAACAAGCTTAACCATGGATGTCTACTCAAGCCAACGTCAACACCACCAAGCTTAAGCATGGATGCCTCCTGAAGCCAACGTCAACATAGCCAATCCCTTCAAAGGACAAAGGTGTCCAGTTAAGTAAGACCTGTGAAACTGCACTCTCCAACTGACATGTTTTCATCTGAGCCCCTGTTTTCTACCTTTAAAAAGTGGCTGCATTAATTACAAGAACACTTAGCAGGTAAACCCCAGAGATGGCAAAACTTGACTACAAGTAAAAATTCCACAAATAGAGACAAAAATCAATATTCTATCTACTTTTGGAAAGATCCAACCTGAAAGTGTGTTTGAAATTAGTTGCACCAATCCCCAAGCATTGCACTGGGGGATTAAGGACAAGGCTTTCCCTACCTTCTACCAAATTTGTGAATCTTTGTTGGTTGAGCTGCCGGACAACACGGAGACAGCATGCTTCTTCTAAATCAACAGCAATCTATCTCTTTTCCCACCCCCAAGGAACAAAACCGGGTACCCAGGGACAGACAGGTGTGTGTACACATACACCTGCTGGTAATCAGCACTGCTTAAATTTCTGATTGTGAACATTTCAAAAGCTGTGTGGCACTTACCTTGCAAAGACGTGTTAGGTAAAGTCGCTTCATTCTCTCCCATCTCGTTATCTTTTTTTAAAGGGGGCCAAGCGATTTCTAGTTGTGTCAGTGACCCTGCTAGCTCTGTGACCTTCTGACTTCCACTGTGTTAGTGTAACAGAATACTACCTGCTTTCTTCTGTGAATAATTACCATTCTGCTTCCCCAGTTACCTGGCTTGCAAGACCTGTTTTACTACGAAGTGAGATCACATCCTTTGATCCAATGTCCTGCTATTAAGGCGTGCTTCACAAAACATGGCTGCGTTTCAGTTTTGAAATTAACTTTTAAATCTCTACTTTCCCTTTAGTCCCGAAACGTTTTTCCACTTTCCCCTGAAAGAGTGTTGATACTATCAACACACCATGGTTCAGAGCCAGTTCTGGTCCTTTCTTTTTTAGCATTTCCAATCTGCTTCTCCTAGAGAACTAAAAGAAAATTTAAAGTAAGTTAAGCAACATCCATTTCTTAAAACAGGGAAATAAGGACTCCCTTGGGAGTCAGTTTTTGTGCAGTGTATAAAGACAGACTTGGAGTATCTCTAATGCCTGTTATGTGACTATAAGCAAAAAGTATAACTTCTTTGAGACTCAGTTTCCTCAACTGTAAGATAGAATATTAATAATTTCTATTTGAGCAGGTTGGTATGAAAACTGAAAGCTATAACCTATGACTGTGCTAAGCGTGGCGAGTGACAGATAAGAAAACCACAAAACAAAAGACCCTTTTTCCTTTCCTGCTTCCTCCTCTTCTTCCTTCTCTCTCTCTCCTCTTAGTCTTCTGATGAGTAGAAAAAAGGCTGGACTGAGAGTCCTGATGTCCCAGACCAAGTTCTGACATCAGTTGTGCTGATTTAAAGAACCTTGAAGAAGCTGTTCCATCCGGCATCACGGAGCCCCAAGGTCCTCGTTTGTACGAGGGGACACTGAGATACAGAGATGTGCATTCCTTCCAAACAGGAACATGATTTTAACTTAGATTAACTGTTGTGCCTCCAACAAAAATAGTCTCCAGCAAAGATGAGCTACAAATTGGAGATTTATCTTTAAATGTTCATTTGCAAGTGAGAAAGGAAAGAGATTATAAAATTAAAGTAATTTATTTAAGCTTTTCTCCCATAAGGCACCTAGAATAAAAAACAATCTCCATTTTTTTCCCTCGAGAATTCCTTAACTCTTGGCTTTAATCAGACTAATGTAAAAACAAACAAACAAACAAAATAAAAACACAAAGCTCAGAGATTTGTTCTGTATTTTTAATTTGAAAATAATCTACCTACCATGTTTGCTGGTTTATTAATGCAAAAATTGCTTACATAAATTATGTAAAGAACAGAAATGTCAAATAGCTATAATAGGTATCCCTAAAAGTATTGGAAATGAAGACATATACGGCCTTAACAAATCATCTTCACAGTTTAGAACCGTATCTTTCACTTATCACCTCCTTGGGTCTCAGTTTCCTTATCTGTAATATGAGGGAGCTGGGCCTTTCACGGGCCCATCCTATCATCATGATGCCAGAAGCCTCACACTTGCAATCCAGGCTGTGGTTTGTCTCAGAGTGGAGTAGCTCTCCACCTTGTGCAATTCCACACCGTAACATCTGCATCATGCTACATCTTTATCAGAAGCAAGATAAAATGGAATGTTTGCCAATAAAACACTGTAATCATCACATTCTGACTTCCCCGTCAGAGGAACAACACAGATGTCCATCCTCACTCGTTACGGCAACCTTGGAAACCTGTTCAGGTCCCTGCCCCGGCGCCCAGTGTCAGTCAGTCACGGGTACAAAGCACTCGTCATCTATGAGCCCCAATTATGGCAGGGAGGAAGTTACTGTGAAAGGAAAAGGAAGAACTCTGCTTAAGCCAAGAAAAAAGTAAAAATACAGACACCACCAGAAATGTCCAAAGTTTTTGTAGATGCATAAAAGTAACATAAATTTAAGGGCCGAAATAAATTACCCTATTCGGTAATAGTGAGCCAGGCGCCACACTAATGAAGTCCCCTCCTCTCATGTGTGCAGTTTCTGTCCTCCTCGGAGCCTTTGTCGTGCCTGGAAAACTTCTCCCAGGATGTTTTCTAAAATACATCTGGAAAGCTGTGTACGCGCCTCCCAAGCTCCTTCACCTCAGCTCTGCCTGCCCTAACTCACGTGCAGAAATTCTTGAATCCAGTCTGGATTGAGGGCCCTTCTGTGCACTCTGAGATGCCCCCTAATAACCCTAGACTTCCCCTTTCCCCACGGCTCTTCTCAGGCTGTACTAGGTATAGAACTCCCCTTACGGGCTGGGATGCCCCTAGGGGATGCCTGGCACTGCCGATAGTGCTGCACCCACTCCCATCAGAACACGCTTCTCTCAATGCCTTCCACCCACAAGTTCTCACTTCTTCATCTTGACTAAGAACTTTACGTGCACTGTGGCTGAAACTTTTGTAGTTTGAGGTGTGACAGCAAAATTTGCACAAATTTTTCTTTCTTCACAATTTCACAGATAGAAGATTTGTTCTTACTATATAGATCTTGGCAATTTTTACATACAACTTTTTAAAATTTCCTTATTAAAGTGAGAACCTTCACCTTTTCCCTTAAAGAAAATCCTTTCCTGCTTCTCTTTGGAATGTCCAAATTGCCGGCACCACTACTCTTGCATTTTAAGACTATTAAACAAAGTAACAGTTACTAGAATACAAAACCTGTAATACCACAATGGTCCATCTGATAAGCAGGATGGCTGCTAAGTGGCTACCAGGCTTCTGCAGCATGGATGCGCTGAGCAAAAGGATGATTGGTGAGATTTCGTCATGTGACTCATCATGCTGCACAATTTAAAATTATCGAATGCTTATTTCTGGAAGTTTCTATTTTCGTACTGTAGGTGATCACAAACAACAAACTTTAAAAAGCAAAACTAGAAATCAGGGGACTACCCAGTGCTTCCTTATTTCTGTCCTTGAAGTTACTAATCCAGAGACTCTTTCTGTATTGCTAGCCATATCCCTGGCACCTAGCACAGCTCCTAGTGCACACTATACCTCCAGTAAATTACATAAAAATGAATAAAGTTAACATCTTTAGAAAACGGAAATTAAAGGTCTTCAGAGGAGGATAAGGACTAACAATGAAGATGACAGAATATTCCAGGAAGGAAAAAGTGGAAAATTAAAGTTCAAACGTGAGTTATTTTCTGCTTGCAGAGGCCCCAGGTGGCTTCACTGAAGTCCTGTGACCTACAGGGGCCATAGAAGGCGTAGGGAGGACTCTCTGACAGCCCAGATGCCTGGAAATGGTGCAGACATGGCAAACGTTCAAGACACCTTCTTAGAAGCTCACAAGGTCCCACACAACAATCAGCAGAATAAGCCCCTGGTTCCATGCACCCTGCTGAGTTTCATTCCCCGTGGAGGTACACACTTACACAACTGTCACCCCTCACCCTGTCGGCTGTGTGGAAGTCGGCATTCCTTTAGTCCTGCACACCGGCCGCTGGGCTGCAGCCTGAGGACCTACACACCAGCTGGCAGGCCATGCTCCCACGGACACTCCCAGCTCCACACCTGCGACCCTGCTCTCTGCGGGGCTGGCAGCCACACACTTCTTGCTGTACGGCCATTACACCTGAACCTCGGCAGCAAGAGTGCCCACAGCCCTGCCTCTCGTGTCAGCAGGAGACCCGGGCAGAGCAATCTCCGCCACATCTGTCTCTATGAAGAGGGACTCGCCCAGCCCTCTCCCCAGCCACGCAACAGTGGCCTAGGGACCAACCCCTCCCTCCACATGGATACTCCCCAGCACTGCCTTGGACTGTGACAACCGTGGGGGACAACACAGAAGAGCCATGTCACAAGATCTCAGTTCATCTGTCCATTTCCTACGGATCAGTCTTCTGGAACATGACACAAAAGTGCCACCCAGGGACTCTCCTCCCACTAAATCAGAGTCCCCAGCAAAGGATGACAGAGGCAGTGCAAAGCTGCCCACCCTGGACTGAAAGTTTCAGATGAGAAGAAACCAGGAAGTAACTCTGGAAACATGTAAAAAAAATAAACTAGTTTGATACACCAAAAAAATTACAAGTAAGGATTAGGATTAGCAATGAATCCCAAGCAGAAGGAAACTGTCAGAACGTCAGAGACAGAATTCAGAATCCAGATGGTGAATCAGATGAATGAGATTGAAGAATACGGATATGAAGAGAGAAAATAGGTTTGTATAGCTGTACAAAGTGTTCGCATTTTAAGCTATATTATTACAGAGACTTAAAAAGTTAAAACAATTAAAAACTTGTGAAATAAAAGTTACAATGAGCTAAGATTAATTTACTACTGAAGAAATACATTTTTATACATTTAATGCATCCTAAGTGTGTATAAAGTTCTCACTAGTGTCCAGGAACGTCTTAGCCTTCACGTCCACTCACTATCACTGACTGACTCACCGAGGCAACTGGATCACTGCAAGATCCATTCAAAGTAAGCGCCCTGTACAGGTCCTGTTTTTTAATCTTTTACGGCATATTTTTACTATATATTTCCTACACTTACGTGTGCTTAGATACCCAGACACCCCAGACCGTCTGACGTGCGCCTGCATCACTCACAGAGCCGTGTGCTGTACAGTGTGCAGGGGGAGGAGCAGCCCCCGCCAGCCGCACAGGAGAGGTGCTCAGTGGAGGGTCTGACCTCGAACACTCTGTGATGTTTGGTCTATGACACTCACACAGGCCAATACTGCCCAGTGACACATTGCTCAGGAGGTATCCCCATCATTAAGGGATACGCAACTATAGTTTCAAACATACATATACACACCCCCCACAAGCAAAAGACACTGTGGTCATTTGCCGGAAAAGCTTCACTGAATAGAGGAAAGAAAGCTGATAAAATTATAAAAATTATCATAAAGGCTTCCAGAATTTTGGAAAGCTCAGAGCGAATGAGCCTTCCAAGCCATTCCCGTAAACCCTGGGGAGCACCTGTTTAAACAATTTGGATGGCACAACAGAAAACAGCACAGGCCACTCTATCACCTAATTTTATTTCAAACACCCCAGTACTCCAAGAAGAGAGAGGGCAGAGGAGGGTCTTACAAATTCTATCATTTCTTGGGATATTTGAGGTTTTACTCGTAAGTGGGAAGAAGTCACTATTGCAGGTAAAAGTTGTATGATCATTTATTAAGGTAATTATTATTATTTAGCTCTGATTTTTAAGGGAAGAGATTTGTGAAAATTTGAAGAAAATTATAAAGTGGCTCCCAGATTCTGAGTGCTGGCCTCACATGCCAGGTGACACAGTACTCTGAGTATGTTAAATGTCACAGTGCATCTAAAGATTACACACACCCGGTACTTACTTTCTCAATAAAAAGCATCACAAAAGGACAACAAATTACTTGATTAAAACCATAGATTTTGACTATGGGTATCAGGTAGAGCAAAGATAAA